ACCACAGTCTCTCTTCCAATCACTACCCAACAAACTCTCCTCCAATCACTGACCAGTCTCTCCTCCAATCACTGACCACAGTCTCTCCTCCAATCACTGACCACGGTCTCTCCACCAATCACTGACCAGTGTCTCTCCTCCAATCACTGACCACAGCCTCTCCTCCAATCACTGACCACAGTCTCCTCTAATCAATGACCACAGTCTCTCCTCCAATCACTGACCACAGTCTCCTCGAATCAATGACCACAGTCTCTCCTCCAAACACTGAGCACAGTCTCTCCTCCAATCACTGACCACAGTCTCCTCCAATCACTGACCACCGACTATCCTCCAATCACTGACCACAGTCTCTCCTCCAATCACTTGCCACGGTCTCTCCTCCAATCACTGCCCACAAACTTTCCTCCAATCACTGACCACAGACTCTCCTCCAATCACTGACCCCAATCTCTCCTCCAATCACTGACCAGTCTCTCCTCCAATCACTGACCACAGTCTCTCCTCCAATCACTGACCAGTCTCTCCTCCAATCACTGACCACAGTCTCCTCCAATCACTGACCACAGACTATCCTCCAATCACTGACCACAGTCTCTCCTCCAATCACTGACCACAGTCTCTCCTCCAATCACTGACCATAGTCTTTCCTCCAATCACTGACCACAGTCTCTCCTCCAATCACTGACCACAGTCTCTCCTCCAATCACTGACCACAGTCTCCTCCAATTACTGACCACAGACTATCCTCCAATCACTGACCACAGTCTCTCCTCCAATCACTGACCACAGTCTCTCCTCCAATCACTGACCACAGTCTCTCCTCCAATCACTGAACACAGTCTCCTCCAATTACTGACCACAGACTATCCTTCAATCACTGACCACAGTCTCTCCTCCAATCACTGACCTCAGTCTCTCCTCCAATCACTGACCATAGCCTCTCCTCCAATCACTGACCACAGTCTCTCCTCCAATCAGAGTCAGCCTACAGTGGGGCGGGGCATTCGTGCGCGTCACCTCGTCTCCGGGCAACGCCTGTCAACAAATGCGGTTGTGGAACCAAAAAACTGCCCGAAAGAGACAGTCACCAGAGACACACACAGAGACACATAGACACACACACAGAGACACATAGACACACACACAGAGACACATAGACACACACACAGAGACACATAGACACACACACAGAGACACATAGACACACACACAGAGACACATTGACACACACACAGAGACACATTGACACACACACAGAGACACATAGACACACACACAGAGACACATAGACACACACACAGAGACACATAGACACACACACAGAGACACATAGACACACACACAGAGACACATAGACACACACACAGAGACACATAGACACACACAGAGACATAGACACACATACAGAGATACGTAGACAGACACAGAGACACATAGACACTCACATAGACACACACAGAGACACATAGACACACAGACACATAGACACACACAGAGACACATAGACACACAGACACATAGACACACACAGAGACACATAGACACACAGAGACACATAGACACACACAGAGACACATAGACACACACAGAGACACATAGACACACAGAGACACACACAGAGACACACAGACACACAGACACAGAGAAACACAGACAAAGAGAAACATAAAGACACAGAGAGACACATCAACACAGAGGCAGAGACACAGGATCAGCACAGAGACACAGAGAGGGGGTGAGAGAGAGCTGTGTGAGGGGAACATCAGGGGAAAGAAAGGCCAAGAGAGAGAGGGCTGTGGGGGGGGGGGGGGGAGTGAGAGAGTCGGGAGGGGCTGAGGGGCTGTGGGATGGCATCCTTCAGATCAGCTTCTTCATAGCTTCAGAGCCGAGACTAAACCCGCGCCGCCCGGACCAGCACAGACAGGCGAGTGACATCCACATCTGACACCCAGAGCGGGGCTGTGGGGGGGGGGGGCTGTGGGAGAGGGGAATGTGGTGGGTGGGGGAGGCTATGGGGGGAGTGGGGCTGTAGGGGAGGGGCTGTGGGGGTGGGTAGGCTGTGGGGGTGGGTTGGGGAGGGTGGGCTGTGGGGAGGGAAGCTGTAGGGATGGGGCTGGGGGGAGGCTGTGGGGAGCGAGGCTGTGGGGTGGGTTGGGGAGGGTGGGCTGTGGGGAGCGAAGCTGTAGGGATGGGGGCTGAGGGGAGGCTGTGGGGAGCGAGGCTGTGGGGGTGGGTTGGGGAGGGGGGGCTGTGGGGGGAGCAGCACACAGGCAGGCGAGTGACATTCCCATCTTAATAGAACGTGTTTACTTTCAATCGGGAGTGGGGGGGAGATGCCCCGGAACAGTGGGGAGTGGAGGGGGAGATGCCCCGGGACAGTGGGGAGAGGGGGGGAGATGCCCCGGGACAGTGGTGAGTGGGGGGGAGAGATGTCCCGGGACAGTGGGGAGGGGGGAAGATGCCCTGGGACAGTGGGGAGCGGGGTGGAGATGCCCCGGGACAGTGGGGAGGGGGGGAGATGCCCCGGGATAGTGGGAAGTGGGGGGGTGAGATGCCCCGGGACAGTGGGGAGTGGGGGGAGATGCCCCGGGACAGTGGGGAGTGGGGGGAGATGCCCCGGGACAGTGGGGAGGGGGCGAGATGCCCCGGGACAGTGGGGGGGGGAGATGCCCGGGACAGTGGGGAGTGGGGGGGGAGATGCCTCGGGACAGTGGGAGTGGGGGGGAGATGCCCCGGGACAGTGAGGAGTGGGGGGGGGATGCCCCGGGACAGTGGGGAGTGGGGGGGAGATGCCCCGGGACAGTGGGGAGTGGGGGGAGATGCCCCGGGATAGTGGGGAGTGGGGGGTGAGATGCCCCGGGACAGTGGGGAGTGGGGGGAGATGCCCCGGGACAGTGGGGAGTGGGGGGAGATGCCCCGGGACAGTGGGGAGGGGGGCGAGATGCCCCGGGACAGTGGGGAGGGGGGGGGGAGATGCCCCGGGACAGTGGGGAGTGGGGGGGAGATGCCTCGGGACAGTGGGAGTGGGGGGAGATGCCCGGGACAGTGGGGAGTGGGGGGGAGATGCCCCGGGACAGTGGGGAGGGGGGGGGGGGAGATGCCCCGGCACAGTGGGGAGTGGGGGGGAGATGCCTCGGGACAGTGGGGAGTGGGGGGGGAGATGCCCCGGGACAGTGGGGAGTGGGGGGGAGATGCCCCGGGACAGTGGGGAGGGGGGGGGAGATGCCCGGGACAGTGAGGAGTGGGGGGGGATGCCCCGGGACAGTGGGGAGTGGGGGGGGAGATGCCCCGGGACAGTGGGGGGTGGGAGATGCCCCGGGACAGTGGGGAGGGGGGGGGAATATGCCCCGGGACAGTGGGGAGGGGAGGGGAGATGCTCCGGGACAGTGGGGAGGGGGGGCTCACAGCCTCACTGAGATCATTGGCCACAGATGGTGCGCTCCATCAGATGGACCCACACTGACCGCTGATTGACCGCTGGCCGGGGAAGCCCCTGTCCCTCGGCGTAGGATCCAGACAGACCGATATCACAGAGCATTGACCCGATCCCCAAATTCCTTCAGCAAACTCATCCCCCTGGAGCAGCTCGGCCCTCATGGATCCGGTGTCTAAGCTGGCACTCCTGTCCTGTGCTATCCTGTGCTGTGCTGTACTGGGCTATCCTTTACTGTCCTGGACTATCCTTTACTGTCCTGGGCTATCCTGTCCTGTGCTATCCTGTCCTGTGCTGTACTGGGCTATCCTTTGCTGTCCTGTGCTATCCTGTACTGTACTGGGCTATCCTTTACTGTCCTGGGCTATCCTTTATTGTCCTGTACTGGGCTATCCTTTACTGCCCTGTGCTATTCTGTCCTGTACTGGGCTATCCTTTACTGTCCTGTACTGGGCTATCCCTCACTGTCCTGTACTGGGCTATCCTTTACTGTCCTGTGCGATCATTTACTGCCCTGTGCTATCCTGTCCTGTACTGGACTATACTTTACTGTCCTGTGCTGGGCTATCCTGTGCTGTGCTGGGCTATCCTTTACTGTCCATGCTGGGCTATCCTGTCCTGTGCTGGGCTATCCTGTACTGGGGCGTCCTGTACTGTGCTGGGCTATCCTGTACTGTGCTGGGCTATCCTGTGCTGTGCTATCCTGTACTGTGCTATCCTGTACTGTACTGTGCTATCCTGTGCTGGGCTATCCTGTGCTGTGCTGGGCTATCCTCTACTGTCCTGTGCTGGGCTATCCTTTACTGTCTTGTGCTGGGCTATCCTGTGCTGGGCTATCCTGCTCTGTGCTGGGCTATCCTGTGGTGTGCTGAGCTATCCTGTCCTTTGTTGGGCTATCCTGCGCTGGGCTATCCTGTACTGTGCTGTGCTATCCTGTGCTGGGCTATCCTGTGCTGTACTGGGCTATCATGTGCTCTGCTATTCTGTGCTGTGCTGAGCTATCCTGTGCTGGGCTATCCTGTACTGGGGTGTCCTGTACTGTGCTATCCTGTACTGTGCTGGGCTCTCCTGTACTGTGCTATCCTGTACTGTCCTGTGCTGGGCTATCCTGGCCTGTGGTGGGCTATCCTGTGCTCTGCTATTCTGTGCTGTGCTGCTATCCTGTGCTGTACTGGACTATCCTGTGCTGTGCTATCCTGTACTGTGCTGTGTTGGGTACAGGTGTGACAAGTGCTGTCCTTTGTCTGAGACAACAAGTTGTCTTTATCCTGCGTCTTTTATGTCAGGAGAGGGAGGGGCAGAGGTGGGAGAAAGCTGAACCTACACTTTCCAGTAAAATTGTGTGAAGTGCTTAGAGACATCTCAATGACGTGGTAAGGCTCAAAATCAAATGACAGATTTGTATTATAATGTGATTTTATGAAAGGATTGTAGGTGGGACGCATGGAAACACAGTTTGGTTTGGCTAATCTTAAATGTGGTGATGGGTTTCCGCAAATCTCAGACACCCGGCTGACCAAAAAACAATTATAATGTTTATTGTATATTTCCTCACCAATGGGCTGTAGTAATCTTCTATTCCTCTCTCAGGGTTCTGGCAGCCGTGAATGGCCAGTTGGGAAATGGCGCCTCTGGAAATGAGCCCTTACCCTCCGTTTGATCCCTTGTCACCATACTGCAAAAGCAAGAACTCATCTAAACTCCCACCAATAAGTCAGGGTGGACACCACACTCAGTTGGCCAAGTCCCAGTCCAAACTGCAGCTGCTTCAACATGAGTTTCAGCAGAAGCTGGAGAGAGAGAAACAGTCCAAGCTGATGGCAATATACAAACAGCAATACCAGGACGCTCTGTACAGGCTCCGAACCACCTTCAGCCAATCTGTGGTGAGGAGAGAGATTCCTCACCGATCACCTGGGATAAAAGACCACTTGTCTTCTGGGTCCCCAACCTGCCAGCGTCTGGCCTGTGAGGAGCCCGATTCAGGGTGGACACAAGTGGCAATTGGCCCCCAAGGCAAGCGGAGCGCGGGTGTTGACCGGGCCTGTCCCCTCAGGCCCATCGAGAGGAAAACATCCAGCTTAAGTAACATCTCCAACCTGGAAGCTGAATTCTCAGAATTGAAATGTTTTAGAACTTTGGATCCAACTATGTGGCCAAATGCTCCATTCAGACCATCGCCACCCAGAGAGCCTTGTAACTACAGCAGGGGCCACTCCAGGAGCAGGGACAGGTACCTCAGAACCTCAGAAAATTCACAATCCCAACTTTATATGAGCCATAATAGTCAGCACAAGAGGTCCCCTGGCAAGAAGGGGGAGGAGGAGCACTGGGCTGAGGACCTCCAAGAGCAGGAAGACAACTATTCAGATCATTTTGAACAAGAGATTTCTAAGAAGGAAAGTTTTATTCAGGGAAGACTGAGGAAAATAGAAGAAGAGCTGAGGCAACTTCAAATAGAACAGGACCGAGCAGAGGAGCAAGAAATGGAGGAACGAGAGATGAGAAGGAGGGGGGAACGAGAGATAAGAAGAGAGGAACGAGAGATGAGGAAAGATCGAGAGATGAGAGAAAAAGAGGAACGAGAGATAAGGAGAGAAGAACGGGAAATGAGAAGAGAGGAACGGGAGATGAGAGGAAGGGAAGATCATGAAATGAGAGGAAGGGAGGAAAAGGTGAGGAGAGAAAGTGAGGAAAAAGAGAGAAGAGAAATGGAGCGTGAAGACAGGAGAGAAAGAGAGAAAGCAAGACTGGCAGAAATGGAAAGAGAAGAGAAACACAGGCAGAGAGAAAGACTAAAAAGGGACAGTGGCCGAATAGACAGGTACAGAGAAGGGCACGGCAGCAGCGGGAAAGCAAACAGAGACCGCTGCAGGGAGGCGGAATCTGAGGATGAGAATTCCGATGTTTATGCCTCAGAAGAATACAGCGATCACTCCAATCCATTCGCAGATTATAAAGGCGTCACAAGCCAAGTAAAGAGCAGCAAAGTTAAACGCTCGGCCCAGCGAGAAAGCACGGATTGCGAGAATTCCCCCCGGGACGAGCAGGCAGAGAGTGGGCAGGTAGATGATCGTTACTCTCCCAATCCCAAGGCAAAGTGCTCCTACTGCGGCCGTAGGTTTGTGCTGGACAGAGTGGACACCCACGTGGAGATATGCAAGAAGGTTTACAAGCACAAGCGCAAAGTTTATGATTCAGCAAAAAAAAGGGCCCAAGGAACTGACATGGAGAACTACCAGAGCAACAGGAAGAGAGTGGCCACACCGGTAGGTACCCCAGACACTTGTCCTGCTCAGCCCCTCCCTCCCTCCCTCCCACTTCTAACCTCCAACCCAGCCGCTAGACACAGGGTCTGCCTTGGTGGGGGGGGGGGGGGGGGTGGGGTGGGGGGAGAAGGGTGTCATAGGAAGAGGAGGCCATTCAGCCCCTCGAGCCTGTTCCACCATTCTATAAGATCATGGCTGATCTGTACTTCAACTCCAATTACCCGCCTTTACCCCATATCCCCTGATGTCCTGACCTAACAAATGTCTGTCCACCTCACATTGAAAATGTGACTGGATCCGGCCATAATCCACAGCTTTTTGGGGGAGGGAGAGAGTTCCAAATTTCCACTCCCCTTTGGATGAAAAACTGCCCGATTTCACTCCCTAAATAGCCCGGCTCTAATGTTAAGGTGATGCCATTGTTTATGGCCTTTGGAAGGGAGGGCCCCCTGGAAGCTGTAAGAGACACACATCCCAAGATGATTGAGGTTGATCCCACTTATTTTCGTTTCCTTCAGCACTGGGTCACCGGGAAGCGATAAGAGCCGGAGCCCGTGGTCCTCCCCTAAACAGCTGTGAACCCACCACATCAACATGACATTACACTGATGGAAGTTACAGCTCAGGAGGCCACTCTCAACCTTTCTTGTGCTCCCCCTCCCTCCTCCCCTAAACTGGAGCACTCCACTCGGGTCCTCTTCCCATGCTCTTTCCCATCTTCTTTGTATTGGTGCTGACATTCATGTTTAAAAATCTTTAAGACTCTGTCTGGTTTGGATACTTTTAAACACGGTGATGGGTCTGTCTGTCTGACCGTATCACCAATAAAATACTTCAATTGTGGTCTGACCAGTGCAGTATCATGTTTGACATGACTGGCATCTCCCTACCTCTCCGACCTCCTCACTCCCCAATCCTCTGCTCGACTGGCACCGGCTCCTACTCGTCCCTCACACCCTCTGCCCAACCATCGGAGGTCATGCCTTCAGCCATTACACCCCAAAACTCTAGAAGACTCTCCCTCAATCCCTCCACCTTGCCCCCTCTCTCCCCTTTTTCACATCCCACCTGAAAACCTTCCTGTTCGACCATGCTTATGGCCTCCTCCCCCCTCCTCGGAGTCAGGCTCTGCCACTGTTAAGCGCTCTGAGACGCTACCCTTGTGTAGGGCGCTACACGCAGGGTTGTTGTTGACAAGTGTGGAATGAAAAAAAATGACACTGATGTGTGTAATTGGCTGCCGGGTTAAGGTCCATAAAACCCACAGCCACTCACTTTACAGTATATTCTGTAAGCACTTTGTGAAGTCTCAACCATGTGACAAGCCCTATATCAAATGCAAGGATTATTGTAGGATTATTAAGCAGCAATTGAAGTAAGATGGGGGTGAATGTGGGCAATGTAGTGGAGGGGCGGAGGTAACTCTTGTCAGGTCCTGATGTAAGGTAGGAACGATAACTGGGAATCAAAACTGACACCAAGTTTCCGTACAGGTTAATTTCAGAATCACAGGTGTCTATGTTCAGTTGTAGAAAGTTGGTTCTTATTCAGGCCTTGATGCCAGATAAGCAGGCAGTCAGACAAGCAGGCAGAACATGTCAGGACTGATGTCGCTACGAGGAGGAAAATAGATTTAGGCATCATCAGCATCTATGTGGAAGCTGTTCCCATGTGATTAGGGAATATGGGGATAATGCGGGTAGGTGGAGTTAGAATAGATCAGCCATGATCTTATTGAATGGCGGGCAGGCTCGAAGGGCCGAATGACCTACTCCTGCTCCTAATTCTTATGTTCTTATGTCTGTGGTTGGCATCACCAAGAGGGAGCGTTAAATGAGGGAAGGAAGGGGTGAGAATACAGGTTTGCAGGACACCACAGTGACCTTGTGGGAAGGGTTGGGAGGACAACAGTTGGGAGTCAAACAAGACTCAAACTGTAATTAGTTGTTAAATTGTGTGCTATTTCCTCTGTTAGTGGAATCAGTGAGCAGTGCTGGTAGCCCAGTGTTTTGGGGCTCCTTGTTTACAGAAGGAGACAATATTACAATAGAACACCTGACACCAAATACTACAGATAATAATCCTTACATTTGATATAATAATAATAGTAATAATCCTTGCATTTGATATAGCGCTTTTCACGTCGGGAGGACGTCCCAAAGCGCTTCACAGAACACACTGTAAAGTGAATTGACTGTATATTTGTGGGCGAACGCGGCAGCCAATTGCGCACAGCAATGTCCCACAAACAGTCGTAGATTGAAAATGACCAATTTATTATTGTTTTTGGTTTTGGAGGGATTATTATTAGGCTCTGTGTGGAGTAAGGAAACTTGCCCAAGGTTTGGCCCTGACCCCCCGGGGATTGAACTCAGGTCTCTCGCTTGCAAAGCGAGTGCTCTAACCACTGAGCTACAGGACTCCTTATCACATCTTTGAGGTGTCTCAAAGTGCTTAATGATCATGGTGCATGTCTTACCAGTGACTTCCCACCACTACCCACCTCCGAGTGTTGTGTAGAGATTCTGACCAAGGCTTCTCTCTCTTCCCCTCGGACTTGTCATCTCTACAGAAGAAAAATTGGAAGCAGAAGCACGATGCCTTTCTCCGCATGCTGCGGGCAGCACAGCAGATCGAGCTGCAGATCTTCCGGGGCACGAAGCAGAGTGACCTGCCCCCCCCACTGCCTGCCGAGAACCCGGACTATGTGCCGTGTCCTCACTGCAAACGGCGCTTCAAAGCTGAGGCTGCCGAGCGGCACATCCCAACCTGCAAAAAGCTGAGGAACCGGCCGCCCCCCCTGCGGAGGTGAGGAGCTGAGCAGATGTCACGGTGGCAGTAACGGATCCCGGCCCGAGAGCTAGAGACACCAGATCCCAGCTTTTATTGGGCTCTTTTTCTTACAGAAATAAATCATTATTAAACTGCAACGTCTCAAGAGTAGCGATTCCACTGAACTGCACGTACCATACACTGATCTAATAGAATGGTGGAACAGGCTCGAGGGCTTTTCTTGGTCATAGGACCAGGGTTAGGCCATTCTGCCCAGACATCCTCCTCCCCACCATCAGCCCACACTGTTCCGTCTGCTCACCCCACCCTCTCTGATATTGCCACACATTAAACCTGGAAACACCATAGCTTCGATGTTTTTTATTTTGATTACATCATTTTACATCATTAATATAATGTCAAAGACATCTAAAGACTGAGTAAATGCTCAGGCTGTTATACTGTAGTGTTAAGTTCAGATGTAGTGTTGGATTGGCACAAGAAAGGAAAGGCACAAGAGACAGTCTGGGCACAGATACTGTGTGCACACAGCAGGCAGCAACCCCCAGTCATGCCACATCACACAAGTCACCGGCTCCCAATCACCCCCACCCTAGCCACTCCCTCCACCCACCCACCCCAGCCACTCCATCGCCAAGGGAAACACCGCAATGGCTGCTGTCTATTTTCTGCGGCTTTTTGCCCACGAAATATGCAGTCAATTCACCTTACAGTATATACAAAACACTGCAGATGCTGGAAATCTGAAACAAACACAGAAGTCGCTGAGAACACTCAGCAGGTCAGGCAGCATCTATGGAGAAAAGAAAGGGAGACAATGTTTCGGGTCCACAACCTTTGGTTCGTTGACTCACTTTCCTTTCTCCATAGATGTTGCCTGACCTGCTGAGTGTTCCCAGCAACTTCTGTTGTTGTTTTCACTTTACAGTATATCCTGTGAAGCGCTTTAAGAAGAGATAAAGGCACTAGAGCAAATGCAAGGATTATTATTAAAATTAAATCCTGACAGCAGCAGGTACAGAATATCCACACGATGATTCCCAGTCGCTTCCCACTCACTCCCGTTTGTACACAATCCCAATGGTGAACCCCCCTTTGGGAAGAATTCCTGGTTCCAAAGTAACACTTAAAATTCCTGATCCTAACGTTTTCTGAACTTCCCTCTCAAACCATTCACTGACCCCATCTGCCCGTCAGCTAACAGTACAGCCTGGTATAAACCCTGCCACTCCAGGGAGAGAGCGGAATTCAACACACAACATATGTCCATTGTAGCCCCTCCTCTGCCCCCCCACCCATCACTCAGCTGGCACAGGCCTGCCCCCTCCCCCTCAATCCCTCCCCTCCCCACCAATATTGGTGGCCATGCATTCAGCCTTCAGTCACTGCGCTTCTAACCTCTGGCTCTCCCCGCCTCAATCACCTCCACTTTACCTTTAAATCCCACCTACAACCTATTTCTTTGACCACGTCACCTCTCTCTCCCACTGGCTGCAGCCATTACCTGTGACCTGTGGCTTTCTCATGGACAGTAAGCTTCTCTGCCATTGCCAGCTCCCCTCAGTGCCCAGCACATCCTCAGGACCATTCCCGTGGTGGTGGTGTTATTGGGCTGTGCTGAGGGAGCGGTGCAGGGCCTCCACACTACTCGATCTGACACGAATTGGATCCCAGAACTGAAGCTGCCGTGGGATTCGGAAGTGTCCTGCCCTCTGACTCTGGGCTAGCGTCCAATGATATGGATTCCGGGCTGGATATGTTTAGGCAAGACTCCAGGCTGGGAACCCCAGAATCCGGGTTGGGAACCCCAGACTCCAGGATGGAAACGCCAGGCTCCGGGCTGGGAACGCCAGGCTCCGGACTGGGAATGCAAGGCTCTGGACTGGGAACGCCAGGCTCCGGGCTGGGAACGCTGTTACACTGGGCAGTCCTGCTCCTGTCACATTCCGATGATTGCTGCTTTAATGCTCCCACAGAGAGCCAGAGTCTGCGGATCTCATCCCCCTGTAACACATCGGGTTAACAGCAAACCCCATCTCAACTTGGTATCAATTGCAGTCAGGCCACCCCGCAGCACTTACTGCATGTCTGGCCCGGCCCGGCCCGGCCTGACCCAACCCTGCCCAACCCAACCCAGCCCGGCCAAACCCAACCCAGCCCGGCCAAACCCAACCCAGCCCGGCCAAACCCAACCCAGCCCGGCCAAACCCAACCCAGCCCGGCCAAACCCAACCCAGCCCGGCCAAACCCAACCCAGCCCGGCCAAACCCAACCCAGCCCGGCCAAACCCAACCCAGCCCGGCCAAACCCAACCCAGCCCGGCCAAACCCAACCCAGCCCGGCCAAACCCAACCCAGCCCGATCAAACCCAACCCAGCCTGGCCAAACTCAACTCAGCCCGGCCAAACCCAACCCAGCCCGGCCCAACCCAAGTCAACCCAGCCCAACCCAAGTCAACCCAGCCCGGCCCAACCCAACTCAACCCAGCCCGGCCCAGTCCAGCTCAATCCAGTCCGGCCTGGGCCAGTCCAGCCCAAACCAGCTTAACTCAATCAAGCACGCCCCAACACAGCTCAGCCAATCCCTGCCCGGCCCAGTCCAGCCCGGCCCAGCCCAACCCTGCCCAGCCCAGCTCAACCCAACCCAGTTCAGTCCAGTCCGGCTCAACCCAGCCCGGCCCATCAGGAACCCAGCCTGGCCCAACCCTGCCACCCCACCCCCAACCAAGCTTAACCCAGCCCGGCCCAACAGGAATCCAGCCTGTCCCGGCCCAACCCTGCCACTTCACCGCCAACCAAGCTTCATCCAGCCCAGCCTGGCCCAGTCCAGCCCAACCCAACACAACCCAACCCAGCCCGGCCCAACCCAGCTCAGCCTAATCTTGCCTGGCTCAGCCTAACCCTGCCCGGCCCAGCTCAACCCAGCCCAGCTCAACCCAGCCCAGTCCAACCCAGCTCAGCCCAACCCAGCTCAGCCCAACTTGGAACAACCCGGCTCAGCTCAACCAAGATCAGCCCAACCCAAACCATACGAACCCAGCCTGGCCTTATCCAACTCAGCCCAACCCAGCCCGGCCCAGCCTAGCACAGCCCCCACACCACCGCGCCAACCCAGCTCAGCCCAACCCAGCTCGGCCCAACCCAGCTCGGCCCAACCCAGCTCGGCCCAACCCAGCTCGGCCCAACCCAGCTCGGCCCAACCCAGCTCAGCCCAACCCAGCCCAGCCTAGCACAGCCCCCGTACCTCCCCGCCAACCCAACTCAGCCCAATCCAGCCCAGCACAGCCCCCATACCTCCCCGCCAACCCAGCTCAGCCCCCATACCTCCCCGCCAACCCAGGTCAGCCCAACCCTGCTCAGCCTGGCTCAGCCCATCCCAGCCCGGCCCAACCCACCCAAGCCCAGGCCGGCCTAGCCCAGCCAAGCACGGCTCAGCCAAGTACAGCCCAGCCCTGCGCCCCCCACCTTCCTACACACACGCACACACAGCACTCCCCAGTGACCCCCCACCCCACGGATAGCACGCCAACATGCACAGCCCCCACACCTCCCTTCCATATATAACCCCCCGCATCACTAACCTGTGAGATTCGCTTTAATTCACAGCTGAGCCGCTGGTTCTCCTCGTGGAGCCGCTGCTGTTGTGTCACACACTGAGCCACCACCACCTGCAGCTCCTGTACCTGCTCCAACAGTGTCCCACATACACAGCCCGGCCCCACCACCACCGTTTCACCGGCACACCTCGCCTGGGAGGAGAAAATGGGGGTAGAGTGTGAGCGGAGGGAACAGGCAAAAGGAGAGAGAGTGCATGGGCAAAGAGGTAGTTGTTAGTGTTGGTGTGTGGACAGCACAGCCCCAGGCCCTCCAACACAGCACAGCACAGGACAGCCCCAGTCCCCCAGCACAGGACAGCCCCAGTCCCCCAGCACAGGACAGCCCCCAGTCCTCCAGCACAGCCAGTCCACAGCACAGCCCCCACCACAGCACAGCCTACAGCACAGCCTTCAGCACAGCACAGCCCCCAGCACAGCACAGCCTCCAGCACAGCACAGCCTCCAGCACAGCACAGCCTCCAGCACAGCACAGCCTCCAGCACAGCACAGCCTCCAGCACAGCACAGCCTCCAGCACAGCACAGCCTCCAGCACAGCCTTCAGCACAGCATAGCCCCCAGTCCTCCAGCACAGCCCCCAATCCCCAGCACAGCACAGCCCCCAGCACAGCACAGCCTTCAGCACAGCACAGCCCCCAATCCCCAGCACAGCACAGCCCCCAGCACAGCACAGCCTTCAGCACAGCACAGCCCCCAATCTCTCAGCACAGCTCCCAGCACAGCACAGCCTCCAGCACAGCACAGCCCCCAGCACAGCACAGCCCCCAGCACAGCACAGCCTCCAGCACAGCACAGCCTCCAGCACAGCACAGCCCCCAGCACAGCACAGCCTCCAGCACAGCACAGCCTCCAGCACAGCACAGCCCCCAGCACAGCACAGCCCCCAGCACAGCACAGCCTCCAGCACAGCACAGCCCCCAGCACAGCACAGCCCCCAATCCCTTAGCACAGCCCCCAGCACAGCACAGCCTCCAGCACAGCACAGCCCCCAGCACAGCACAGCCTTCAGCACAGCACAGCCCCCAGCACAGCACAGCCTTCAGCACAGCCCAGCCCCCAGCCCAGCCCCAGCCCCCCAAGCACAGTACAGCCCTCAGAAAAACGCTGGTCTCCAGCACAGCAATCCCCCAGTCCCCACAGCACAGCTCCCAGCACAGCACAACCCCCAGCCCAGCCCTGGCCCCCAGCACAGCTCAACCCCCAGCCCAGCACAACACAGCCCTCAGCTCAGCTCCCAGCACAGCCCCCAGCACAACACAGCCCCCAGCCCAGCTCCCAGCACAGCCCTGACCCCCAGCACAACACAGCCCCCAGCCCAGCTCCCAGCACAGCCCTGACCCCCAGCACAACACAGCCCCCAGCCCAGCTCCCAGCACAGCCCTGACCCCCAGCACAACACAGCCCCCAGCCCAGCTCCCAGCGCAGCCCTGACCCCCAGCACAACACAGCCCCCAGCCCAGCTCCCAGCGCAGCCCTGGCCCCCAGCCCAGCACAGCCCCCAGTACAACACAGCCCCCAGCCCAGCACAGCCCCCAGTACAACACAGCCCCCAGCCCAGCACAGCCCCCAGTACAACACAGCCCCCAGCACAGCCCCCAGCCCAGCACAGCCCCCAGCCAGCCCTGGCCCCCAGCACAGCTCAAACCCCAGCACAGCACAACACAGCCCCCAGCCCAGCTGCCAGCACAGCCCTGACCCCCAGCACAACAAAGCCCCCAGCCCAGCTCCCAGCGCAGCCCTGGCCCCCAGCCCAGCACAGCCCCCAGCACAACACAGCCCCCAGCACAGCCCCCAGCCCAGCACAGCCCCCAGCACCCCCAGCACAGACAGACCCCAGTACAGTAAGTACAGCCCCCAGCCCGGCCCCAGTCCCTCAACACAGTACCGCCCCCAGCCCAGCCAGCACAACACAACCCCCAGTACAGCACAGCTCCCAGCCCCCAGTTCTCCAGCACAGCACCCAGCCTTCAGCACAGCAAAGCCCCCAGCCTCCAGCACAGCGCAGCCCCCAGCACGGCACAGCCCCCAGCACGGCGCAGCCCCCAGCCCCCAGCACGGCACAGCCTCCAGCACGGCGCAGCCCCCAGCCTCCAGCACAGCGCAGCCCCCAGCACGGCGCAGCCCCCAGCACGGCGCAGCCCCCAGCACGGCGCAGCCCCAGCACGGCGCAGCCCCCAGCACGGCGCAGCCCCCAGCACGGCGCAGCCCCCAGCACGGCGCAGCCCCCAGCACGGCGCAGCCCCCAGCACGGCGCAGCCCCCAGCACGGCGCAGCCCCCAGCACGGCGCAGCCCCAGCACGGCGCAGACCCCAGCACGGCGCAGACCCCAGCACGGCGCAGCCCCCAGCACGGCACAGCCCCCAGCACGGCACAGCCCCCAGCACGGCACAGCCCCCAGCATGGCACAGCCCCCAGCACGGCACAGCCTCCAGCACGGCACAGCCCCAGGCACAGAACAGTCCCCAGCCCAGCACAGCACAACTCCCAGCCCAGCGCAGCCCCCAGCCCAGCGCAGCCCCCAGCCCAGCGCAGCCCCCAGCCCAGCGCAGCCCCCAGCATAGCACAGCCGCCAGCACAGCCCTGGCCCCCAGCCCAGCGCAGCCCCCAGCCCAGCGCAGCCCCCAGCCCAGCGCAGCCCCAATCCCTTAGCACAGCCCCCAGCACAGCATAGCCTTCAGCACAGTACAGCCTTCAGCCCAGCGCAGCCCCCAGCACAGCCCTGGCCTCCAGCTCAGCACAGCTCCCAATCCAGCGCAGCCCCCAGCCCAGCACAGCCCCCAGCATAGCGCAGCCCCCAGCACAGCCCTGGCCTCCAGCCCAGCGCAGCCCCCAGCCCAGCGCAGCCCCCAGCCCAGCGCAGCCCCCAGCCCAGCGCAGCCCCCAGCCCAGCGCAGCCCCCAGCCCAGCGCAGCCCCCAGCCCAGCGCAGCCCCCAGCCCAGCGCAGCCCCCAGCTCAGCACAGCTCCCAATCCAGCGCAGCCCCCAGCCCAGCGCAGCCCCCAGCCCAGCGCAGCCCCCAGCCCAGCGCAGCCCCCAGCCCAGCGCAGCTCCCAACCCAGCGCAGCCCCCAGCCCAGCGCAGCCCCCAGCAAAGCACAGCCGCCAGCACAGTCCTGGCCTCCAGCCCAGCACAGCTCCCAACCCAGCAGAGCTCCCAGCCCAGGACAGCCCCCTCACCCCCTGCGGTGACTTCCTTACCCCAGAGCCTGGCTGGGTGTCTGCCCCTGGAGTGGTGGTGGTTTTCAGTTCCGGCAGTTTGTGGTACGGCAGCGTCTCTTTCCCGGCGATCAGCGGCAACTTAGCCACATCCCCAGGAGAGTCTGGGATCGGGATAAACTCTGCATTTTCCAGTTCCTAACAATTAAACACACAGAATCAGATCTCAGTCTTAATCTGCTGCCCACCTGTACATCCCACCCCCACTGTAACCCCCCACAGTAACCCCCCACTGTATCTCCCCCACTGCAACCTCCACCCAGTGTCACCCCCCATTGTCAGCCCCCATTGTCAATGCCCCACACTGTCACCCCCCACCCACTGTAACCCTCCACTGTCACCCACCCACTGTAACCCCCCCTGTATCTCCCCCAGTCACCCCACCACTGTAACACCCTCCAATGTAACCCCCCCTTGTCAACCCCACTGTAACCCCTGCCACTGTCAGCCCCCTGCTGTCACCGACCCACTGTAACCCCCACCCTGTATCTCCCCCAGTCACCCCACCACTGTAACACCCTCCAATGTAACCCCCCCTTGTCAACCCCACTGTAACCCCTGCCACTGTCAGCCCCCTGCTGTCACCCCCCCACTGTAACCCCCCCCCACTGTCCCCACCACTGTCACCCCCCCACTGTCCCCACCACATCCACACTCACACGTACACACATATTCACACACACAAACCCTTTCGCTGGCGTATACTTACCCACACACACGAGGCTGCTGTACATAACCACAACCATACTCACAATCACACACACGCACACACAGACGAGGATGGCGTACATACACATACTCACACACACAAGCCTGGTATACACACACGCACAAGGCTGGCATACATACACACACTCACACTTGCACACTCACACTTGCACTCTCAAACACACACATTCGCCATTGGTGGGGCTAGTTACCCTGAGCAGCCAGTCAGGACAGGAGCTGTCCGGGGAGCCACTGGATGACTTGATCATGGGGTTAAACACTCCGATCCCCCGTTTGTCCTCCGCTGTTTTCTTCATCCCGTTCTGTCCGTCCTCATCCTCCCCGAGCTCTACCTCAGCCGGAGAGCCCGGTGTACCTGTGGGACGTCAGACAGGTACACACAGAGGTACACACATACAAGTACATCCACAGATACACACGCGCACACATACAAATACACGCACACAGGTACACACACAGGTACACACATGGGTGTGTACAGGTTACAAGTATACACACAGGTAGCCACACAGGTACACACACAGACAGGTACACACATAGGCAGGTACGCAGCTTAATCTCCTTGTGGGGAGGAGGTAAGTGGGGTGTCCTCCTGGCTGGCTCATTGGCAGGACCTGGAAGGGCAGACCAGTTACTGTGGGCAGGGAGTCATCCCATTCAACTCCAGCAACCCAAAGCCCAAATGGGGAGAGTGGTACTAGCTGGACAAGCAGTGGGAAAGCTTGTCAGACAGTGATATCAATGGTAAGTTACAGTTTTAGCTGGTTAGACTCCAGCTGTTACCTCAACATGCACACTGGGGTTCCCAAGCCTTGGCTATTGCCAATCTGCGCCTAATACTTTCTGGAACTAGGTCAGCAGGATGTGTCCCTCCAGGGAGAGAGAGAGAACTCATTCCATTCCAACAATAGATCTCTGGGATTTCCATGCATGGAAATCTCAGTTTGGAGACTCTTATGCATGGTGTGGGCACTGTATGTGGCTTTCCGGGTGTGTCAGACGCCGGGCTGTCCAAAAAAAAGTACACATACAGGCAGCTATACAGATACACACATACACCGACACACATAGACAGACACAGATCGACACTCACAGGCAGACAAACAGGGAGTCACACTCACTGGCGCCGATAGACAAGCTGCTGCTGTTGGATCGAATTGTTTTCGACGAATAAACAATTTCTGAAATAAAAAGAAAATCAGGTTCTGGAGATTGTGTAAGTGAGAGAAGCTCGGTGTGGCTCTGTCAAGATGTGTGTGTGTATGTGTGTGTGTGTTGTCTCTGTCAGTATATCTGTGTCTCAGATCTCCTCTCCCTTTGGCTCTCCACCCACAGCGATTCATCAAGTTGTTGAATGATCATCTC